GTGCTACGTCAGGTGCTACTGCGCCTGGAGGTGCTGCGTCTGGAGCTGCTGAGCCTGGAGGTGCGGAGCCTGCCGCCGCTGGACCTCCCCTTGTGGCGTCTGGTAGTGCTAGGCCTGGAGGTTCTCCGGGTGCTCCGTCTCGAAGGGAGCCACTCTCTCCACAGGAGTTGCGCGAGTGGTTTGCTTGCCGCTGGAGGCGTACTGCTGGAGCTGGGGGCTTCTTCGGCACCTAAGGGTGCTGGTGCCGCCGGTCCCAGAGCTGCTGGGCCTGCGGGTTCTACTTGAGCTGGAGCTGCTGAGGGTGGTGGTGCTGAGATTGCTACTGTCTGTCCCGGCGGTGGTCCTGCTGCTGGCGCTGCTGGAGGTCCTGCCGCTGGAGGTGCTGTTGGCGCTGGTGCTGCCGCTGGGGGTACTGGTGCTGTCCTTGCTGTGTCTAGAGTCCCCGCGCGGCCTCGGCCGTACTTCGTTCCGCTCCTGCAGCAGGTTCTTGGTCTCTCTCCTCCTGTAGAGTGCCACCGCCTGTCCAGTCCCAGTCACTGTTAGAGCCCGCCTCTTGACTGCCTGCTCCCTCTCCTTACACTGGTCCTACTGGAGGTCTTGCTGAGCGTCGTGAGCCTGCGTCTCGTCCCGCGTCGCCTGTTCGTGCTGCTCGTACTAGTGGTCGCGGTTCGCGTCAGCGTCCTCCTCCTGTCCCTGGCACGCACCGGATGTCTCTGTGTCCGTCCACTGCTCCTCTGCGTGCCTCTTCGCCTTCTCCTCCTGAGTCCTCTCTTCTTGCGCTTTCCGACCCGGAGTCGGACTCTCTTCGTGCTGCGAGTCCTACTGTCAGGCGTCTTCTCCCTAATGTTGTCACTGACCCCTCTTTTGAGTCCACTGCTGTGTCTGCTCTTGTTACTGAGCTCGTCGACTTTGCTGCTCGCTGTCGTCTAGACTACGCTTTCTGTCTTGTTACTGAGTCTGCGTCTGTCTGTCCTACGTCCGTCGGGGTGAATGTGCTCTTGGCACGGACGTCCTTGAGGACAGGCAGGAGGAGTTCCAATGTCTGGCTGCTGCTTCACCTCATCTCGCGTCTGTACTGCTTGCCCCTGAGGGAGACCCGGATGCACTAGACATCCCTACTCTGCGTTCTTACGCGGAGGCTATAGAGGGTCCCTACTCCTCTAAGTGGCAGGCAGATATGGATGCAGAGATGGCTTCCTGGAAGTCCACAGGCACCTACGTTGACGCGGTTCCCCTTCCTGGGGCGAACATTGTCAGTGGCATGTGGATCTTCAGGGTGAAGCGGCCGCCTGGCGCTCCACCTGTCTTCAAGGCGCGGTACGTCGCTCGTGGCTTCAGTTAGCGGCTGGGAGTTGACTACTTTCATACCTTCTCTCCCACCTCGAAGATGACCACTCTTCGGGTGCTGCTACACATAGTCGCTCAGCGCGACTACGAGCTTCACTCTCTTGACTTCAGCACAGCTTTCTTGCAGGGTAGCCTGCACGAGGAGATCTGGCTGCGCCGTCCACCTGGCTTCACTGGGACTTTCCCTCCTGGCACCCAGTGGAGCCTCCGACGGCCAGTCTACGGTCTCCGCCAGGCACCGCGTGAGTGGCACGACACACTGAGGACTACGCTTGCGGCTCTTGGGTTTGCTCCCTCTAGTGCTGACCGTCGTTGTTTCTGCGCACCGACACTTCTCTGCCGCCGTTCTACATCCTCGTGTACGTCGACGACTTAGTCTTTGCCACTGCTGACACTGCTGGGCTCGCCTATGTGAAGTCCGAGCTGCAGAAGAGACACACGTGCACAGACCTGGGTGAACTGCGCATCTACCTTGGCTTGCTCACCTCTTGACCTTCCTTGTACTCTTGCATATATATATATATATATATATATATACCTGCTCTTGCTTGTTTAGCCTTATATATATATGTCTCCTCTTGCATGTGAACTGGCCTTGTGGCCTTGACCTTGTGCTCGGACTGTGTGGTGACGTTGTGATCCACCCTGAGCTTTGCTTTGCTTTGCTTGACAGGTCTTTTTTACCCCTTGTTCTCCCCCACTTTGCCTATGGGGGTGTGTCAGAACATCATAGCTTATGCTGTTGTGTAGGCTATAGTGGGGTATCCCATAGGGGGTACAACCCAATTAGGGTTGGTACTTGCACTCACACATTTCATAGTTCATTCATTCGTGTTCTTTGTTTCACAATGGTGTGTGAATACCAGAAGCCTTCTGGACTGAAGTCTGGATCAAGGTCCGGAGAGTGTGTCCAGTCGGTGAAGTTAACGATGGCGACGCTGTCGGCAGTGCCAAGGTCAGGGACGAAATCAAGAACGAAGACGTTGTTCTTGAGGGCCGCCCTGCCGATGTAGAGTCCTTCTCTCCCGTGATACAACTTGAATTCTTGAGTGGTACTGTCTGCTTCGAGGTGAATCCCCTTCGTCATCAGCTGGCTGACGCTCAGTAAGTTGTAGCCGAGTCCCTCCGCGATTAGTACTCCTGACATCTGTAGTACGACGTTTGTTTCCCTTGAATGAAGTTGAACTACGCCTTGTCGTCGTGTTCGCAGGTTTTGGTTGTTGGCAACTGTAATGACGACTTCGCGTTGAACGAAGCGTCCTGAGGAGCACATGTGCTGTCCGGAGCAACTGCCCAAGAACCATGTGTCCCTTCCGAATGGCTCGCTTTGGGCGATGGTGGCGTATGTCGGGTTCGGCTGAAGTGACTCGCGGTGGGGTGTGGTTTCGTCGAGTTGTTCTTCCTGTGAGTAGTGTGGTGGTGACTCGGTATCTTTGCCATGCAGTTGACGATGTTTCTTGCTCCTTGTGCAGGTTGTCCTGTTGAAGACGTTGAAGCTTGAATCTGAGTCGTAGGATTTGCTTGCGTTGAGGCGACTTGGCTACTTAAAGGCCGAAGTTGCCGCTGTGGTGTTGTTGATTGTTGACGATTCATGCAGTGCGTGCGCGGGTGTCCTGAAGTTTTGCAGATGTGGCAGAACGGAGGTACTGGCTTCAGCTGTTGCTGCCGGTTGTTGTTGTTGTTGTAGCGTCGCTGGGTGTGGAACACAAACTCTGGTGCTGACGTCTTCTTTTTCAGTCGTTCTTCTTGCATGTCCATGTCTTGCTGCTCGGCATAGATTTCGGCGCAGAGCGCTGCTTCGGAGATTCTTCCGTGAGCTCGGAGGATGGCTTTTGTGGTGCGCCATTAAGGACCGAGGCCGCCGATAATGACTGTCACAAAGGCGTCTTCAGAAATCGACCCTACGCATCGAAGAAGCCTGTGTTCAATTCGCGACATCGACTGATATACGCCATTCCTTTTTCCCCGGTTTCATTTCAACCGTTGTCAGTTGCGCCATTAACCGACTTTGACTTACACTGTCTGTTGCTCGATACAGGCTCTTCAGGTGGTTGTACGCGAGCTCCGCGGAGTTACCGTAACCTCGGTAAGTCCTTATGTTCTGCTGTTGAGTCGGGGTGATATTTCTCAGTAGGATCGTGTACGCCATCATTGACAGATAGGTGTACTGCTGCTTTCTCGTACTGTGTGCCGTTTGTTGGGTATGGCAGGGACCCGTCGAAGAACCCGAGTATCTGCGCGCCTTCCATCATCAGCTCAAACTCGAACGACCAGGTGAAGAAATCCTTTCCATCGAAAGGTCTTGATGTCTACATCTTCAGAACATGTGCGAACTACGACTGAACTTGTAGTGCGTTCAGTTGTTTTTCTTGTCCAGGTGAGGCTGTGGGTGTGGCATGAAGCTGATGGATCCGCGATCGTACGGAGCAAAGGTAAGCTGTTGTTGCCGATTTCCTCGTGCATACGATGAGCTGTCGAGACTCATGGGTGTTGCTCCGTTGTTGTTGCTGTTGTGTGATTGCGCAGGTGCCGATTGCTGGTGTTGCTCGTAGAAGGACACGAAGGAGAAATACTTCTCCATCATGCTCTGGTCGAAGTCCGCAATTTGATTTGCGGGAGTCTCAGTAGATGTTGCTCTGGGTCTTGTTGCCGTGCCCTCCTCTGTCTGTAGGCCAGAGGCAGGAGGTGGAGTAGGAGTAGTGCCTTGGGATCCGTTGGAATTGCTCCTTCCCTTTTGTGTAGCCATGCTGATTGACACTGTTGGTATACGAGTTGAATTCCCCCTGATAGCTCTCATACCATGTTGGGCTGAAAAAGCCCTTAGGATCTTTGCAGAGGTGAATTCTGGATAGAGTTGATGTAGTAGCGGAAGCGTTTAATAAAGAGTTTGTGAACCACCTTGCGCTAGTATGTGAGGGCAAAGTAAATTGATTAAAACAAAGAGATACAAGATTATATATGAATACACGGAATATGAAGAGACACAGTTATAACTACTTTACTGTTGCTGTTGCGGTTCGATATAGTGACGAGTGGCAACTGCTCTGTAACGAGTGAGTTGTGTGTCCTTGCTGTCGCGCTGCATTTGTCAGGTCAAAGGTCGCTGACCTTTGACTTTCGCGTAACCTCCAGCGGTTACTTCAACCTCCGAGGATTGACTCGCTGGTGCCTCGATATGGTCTGCTTCGCTTGTGCCTTAGACTTTCGACACGACAGAGGCACTTAGGAACGATTGTTTCCAACACACTTTGCTTCTATCTTGGTGTTTCGACACGACAGAGGCGCTAAAACAATTGTTTCCAACATCATACCACAATACATACGGTAACATTGCCCTGCATGGTGTACAGCAGCCTGAACTCTGCAGACCATGATAACTGGTTCAATGAAACAAATGAACAACATTTGTGTCAGACATAGTGAGGGGTTCCGTGAGGTCATCCATTGGTCCGCATCTTATCCACAAATGAAGCATCTGCTGTCGAACAACTTTACAGGACCAGGCGAAGAATACCTAGCCCAATAGCACTGACTGAAACTAGGGTACCTGCACCCACAGATCACAAGCTGGTGTGAGAGAGTTTGCCTGGAGAAGATAGGCAGGAGTGCAGCAGAACGAAGAGATACTGAAACCATTCTCTGTGACAACTTGCCTATGCAGTATCTGATTATTTCAAACTTGGCGCCTTCTAACTCTGCCTTCAATGTGTTCACCTCCTGAAATATCAAACAAAATCATTCCTGTATTAGCAGAAGAATCAGAATGTGCTAGTGTTCCATGTCTCAGCATGACCAAGGTTACGTACCCTATCCATCTTGTTGGACAAGCTGCTGAGCTCCTGAGTTTGAGCTGTGATATCTTCTTTGATTCTCCTGTGAAGTTGAAGAGTTAGGGGTGTTACACGGGCTTGTGACAAAGAGAGTGTACACCAATTCGGCACAACAATATACCACTTACCCTCTTTCCAAGTTCAGATCAAGACGTTGACCTGCTGTCACCTTATCCACCTCGTATCTGCAAGTTGACGACCAGAGGTCAAAGGAGGAGATGTTAAAACAGCATGTGTGTAGTGCTGCAGGTGCTATGACGGTGATACACCTACCGTATTTCATTCTTTACTTTGTCCAAATCCGTCTTGAGGCCTTCAACCTCCCGAGTCAATCCAGCAAACTTCAAATCCTGTAGTCCAAAACTCCCACTCAATGAGTACCCCTTCAAAACAGACTCCTTGACAGTGTTTTCGACTTCGCGTTCACCCACAATCTAGCCTCCTGGGTTTGGAAATCTTGGGTTCCTTGTTGAAGTTGGTGAGCACAATGTATTCAATTATCAATCCCTTCATACCTGGAGGCTTTGAATTTCCGTCTTGACCTTGGCCATGGCTGCCTCCGCCACCATCTCCGACTGCATTTAGTGAAGAATGAACAGATGCATCAATGAGTGAAGCGCGTTACTTCATGATTGAATTGGACGAGTTGTGAAACTGCCGATGGTATAAAACTTACCTTTTGCATCTCTGACTTTGAAACGAAAGTGTGCGCGGCTGTGTCGAGACTCTCATGGAGAACTTCTGTGATAAGATGTGTAATAGCCTCGGATTGCTTCGCCGTCAACCCTTCCGCCTCTAGCCTTCTCACCTGTTTCACAGACTTGGTTCTCATCACCAAAATAGGGATTCCGAAAAACACTGCACGACGTTGATTGCGAAAAGGGGAAGCAGTACATATGGAACTTACAAGTGCAAGTGTGTCAACGAGAAACGCTTTTCTACCGTTAGCGCTAGCTGTGACCATTGTCAGTGTTCGCCGTCCAGTGTGAAAATCTCGTCGGGGCATCGTAGGGTGGTTCGTCTGATCCTCTGAAACTGTAAATACTTGGTCACTACTTGGCAGACGCAATCCATACGGCATCACAAGCTCGCTTTGCTCGACGGGGGATCGATGGCTTGCTGATTTGGCTGCCTCGTGTGCTATATGTCTGGACAATAGGGCTATCGAAAGTGGCCGCAATACGACAATCGCCACACGTCTTCCAATCTGCTGTAGCGTGCCATGGCTACCACTTAATGCCATATGGAGAGGTCTTTGCCGCGGGCCTGAGAACCTCCACACAGTAGTTCGTTGCAGAATTAAAAGCTCTTGACTAAACTCGCCTAGCTACGGGTATTTATAGGCCAGCCTCCAGAAGACAGCACACACGACTACAGCTTGGTACCGTCATCGTGGACCAGATGGACCAGGAGAATCGAGCAAGAGACCACTGGAGTTCTCACCCCTGGAGTCCTAAACTAAGTTCTCCAGTCCGTGAACGAGAAGACGATCTCTAACAAGTCTTGGATCACCCCTGGGAGCTCTACGACGGCTTGCACACCATGAATGGCTATCGGAATTGAATAGGTGGACTCTCTGAACTAGATGATCAAAACTCGAGAAAGAGTGGCACATTTGAACCAGGATTCCGTTCTCACCAACCATCCAGCCTCAAATACGCAGAATCACGGGACGGGAATGGGACCACCATCAGCAAGCAGGGAGATGACCTGCTCCGCAGGGAATAGTTTTGTCAGTGACTTGTGTGTGTGCTGTCCTTCTGGTGCAAAGGCTTGCCCAGGCTGATTGTCAGTGGTGCCCGGAATCGCGGACGCGCGGCTCGTTTCAGCAGTGTTCCAGGGCAGGCGGGTGAGCTCCGTCTGTGTACAGTACGTGATATTGTTGAACAAGAACAACCCAAGACTGGACGACGAATGAAGCGGCTAGACGTCTACAGGCCGCCAAGCTATCCAGAGTGATCGTTAATATCGAAGACTGTCCCGAGATCGCGCCCGTTGATCGCGAGCACACGTGACGATGGTCACCTGCATTGCTGGAGAAATGTGGCGGCAACCTCCTCATCGATTGGATGATTGCATCTGACGTGGGGTCACGATGTGGCAAACAGAGGTACCGTTACTAACAGACATCTACACGAACATAGCACCAAGTATCCCGTAAAGATTTCCTTGTTGGAGCAATGCCCATATATGGAGATAAAAATATGCGGTGTTTGGGGCCTTTGTTATGAAACATTCATATGGTCCTGGTTGGAACTGTCAGGAACAGATGGTGCAATGAATGATGTAATGTAGGTAAAATTAGTCAGCCCTAACCTAGGCTTCCAAATGACAGTGTTATGTAACCAACACATTTGACACATCACAATGCATGGAAGGCAAGAAGCAAGTCTCAGGAGCATTACTAGCCAATGCATGTGACACACGTGGTCACAAAACCACTCAGCACCAAATTAAAAACATGTGATGCAACTCAAGGTGGCACAACTACTCCTGCCACCGAAACAAATGGTCACGACTAAACAGTAAAACATCATATGCAAAACAAGATGTAGTTATCAGTACAAAAATAAGGGAGGACCAGGAGGAACACGGCCAAGGTGAGTTATGAGCCGATCATGATGGTGAGGCAGAAATGCCTTAGTGAAGATATCGGCGGTGTTGACCAATGGGGACAGAGAAAACAATAGTGCCTAGTTGCGTCGCTTACCTGGTTGCAACCTAAGCATGAGCGAGGTGAACATGCGTCAGTATGCATCCAGACTAGGCTGATGAAATGAGAGGATCATGGCCTTGTTGGCAACGAACAAGACCGGAACTGAGCTGGGCGGCTCACCTAGGTCAGCGAGTAAGAGTGCCAGCTAACGGAGCTCCTGAGCAGCTAATGCACCAACATATATCTCTGTCCCAGCAATTGACGAAGCAACAGACGACGAGGGTGTCGACCTTCACGACATAAATTCATAGCCCAATCTAAAGCAATAACACTGAGTCGACGTGCGAGTCTCGTCGCCGTCTGCCCACGACGCGTCAGTGTACATCGCAATCCAAACTAGGTGTCGTCCACCAAGGAGAAGCCTCATGCTTGATGTACTTGCGAGATAGCGCACTACCCTCTTAGTAGCCGTCGTTCAGTGCTGGAGATAGTGAATCCACATTGAAACAAATCAACGTAGGACGTTTAGAGGATAAGCTAGGCCTGGGCGAGTGCAAGACATCAGGTGCATGAGACACGGCTCTGCATACTGAACATTAGGCTAAGCCGGCTCGTCAAGAACATGAGTCGTAAGCTTACGGTCAGGAGCAAAAGTAGTGGGTTATACAAAAGGGAACTGAAGGTGGAACCGCTCAAGGACCTAATGCACGATATGTGGCTGAGTCGGAGTGATGGTGCGCATTGCTCTGTCCCAGGTGATATCTAAGCCAAGATAGTTGCGCAGCTCACCAAGGTCAATGCAAGTGTGTCTCTTCAGCACCCCTACTTTCACCGAAGCTAGAGCAACCTCGTCTACAATAGCAAAGTGTTAAAGAATGAGGAATGAATAAACTAGCACAAGGTTGGGTACAAGTAGGAAACCCTAGGAAACTATACCCCATAGTGTCTACCCCACTATAGCATAGACAAGCTATATAATATGAATTTGACACACCCCCATAGGCAAAGTGGGGGAGAACAAGAGGTCACAAGACCAGTCAAGCAAAGAAAAGCAAAGCTCAGGGTGGATCACAACGTCACCACACAATCCGAGCACAAGAGCAAAGCCAAAAGGCCACTTCACATGCAAGATCATATATAAAGGTAAACAAGCAAGTGCAGGTATAGAAAGATCACAGTATCACCAAGGTCAAGAAGTGAGCAAGTGAGGCCAAGTAGGCACAAGACCTAGCATCGTACAGAAGCGCTGATGATCACCAAGCGGAAGTGCCTTGGTAAAGTATCTAGCAGTGTTTGCCTCAGAGGCCACGTAAGAAAGACGCAGCTGACCACGCTGCTGCAGCTCACGAGCAAGGAAGTAGCGGAGAGCAATATGCTTCGTCCTGTGCTCCCGACACAAGGCCAGCATGGCCTTGTTGTCTACGTACAAAACTGGAGGAGAACGAGGCGGCTCTCCTAGGTCAGTCAGCAAGTAGGTGAGCCAGCATAGCTCCTGTGCAGCCATGGCCCCGGCGTAGATCTCAGCCTCACAGTTGGAGCCGAGAAAAGAAGACGAGCGGGTAGACCGCCACGAAACAGAGCCGGAGCCAAGGTTGATGGTGTAACCCTGTGACGACCGTTGCGTAGCCTGGTCGTCAGCCCAAGAAGCGTCTGCGTGACCTGTGAGGACCACTTGACGTCGCCCTCCAAGCACTAGCCCCATGCCCGACGTACTGCACAAGTAGCGCAACACCCTCTTTGCTACAGCCATATGCTGTGGTCGGTGTCTCCCAGGAGCAACATAGCGTGCCAAGATGCTAAGAGGGTATGCAAGGTCAGGTCGCGTGCAGATCACCAGGTACATGAGGCAGCCAACAAGCTCTGGGTACGGGCCACTCGGCTCTACGGACTCATCCGAAGGCAGAGCTGAGAGCGAGTGGCGAGTAGACATAGGAGTGGCCTGAGGCGAGGAGTACGTGAAGTCGAAGCGCTGAAGGACCTGCTGCACCATGTGTGACTGAGTCAGGGTAATGGTGCGGCGTGCTCTGTCCCGGGTGATCTGCAAGCCAAGGTAGCTACGGAGTTCACCCTGGTCTGTGCACGTATGACTCTTCTGCAGCTCGGACTTTACGTGGGCGAGTCGAGCAGTGTCAGCAGTGGCAAAGACCAAGTCGTTGACGTATACGAGGATGTAGAACGGCGGCAAAGAGGTGTCGGTGCGCAAAAACAGCGACGGGTCGGCTGTAGAAGGAGCAAACCCAAGAGCCGCAAGTGTAGTCCTCAGTGTGTCGTGCCACTCACGGGGCGCCTGGAGGAGACCGTAGACTAGCCGCCTGAGGCTCCACTGGGTACCAGGAGGAAACGACCCAGTGGAGCCAGGTGAGCGGCGCAGCCAGATCTCCTTGTGCTGGCTGTCCTGCAGGAAAGCTGTGCTGAAGTCAAGAGAGTGAAGCTCGTAGTCGCGCTGAGCGGCTATGTGCAGCAGCACCCGAAGAGTGGTCATCTTTGGAGTGGGAGAGAAGCTCAGAAAGTAGTCAACTCCATGCCGCTGACTGAAGCCTCGAGCCACGTAACGCGCCTTGAAGATAGGCGGAGAACCCGACGGCCGCTTCACCCTGAAAATCCACATGCCACTGACGATGTTCGCCCCAAGTGGGGGAACCTCGTCGACGTAGGTGCCTGTGGACTTCAAGGAAGCCATCTTTGCGTCCATGGCTGACTGTCACTATGACGAGTAGGGACCATCAATCGCCTCAGCGTACGATCGAGGTGTCGGGATGTCTGGTGCATCCGGGTCTCCCTCAGGGGCAATCAAGGTGGACACGAGATGAGACAAAGCAGCAGCAAAAGAGTGGAACTCCTCCTGCCTGGCCTCAAGGACGTCCGTGCTAAGAGCACACTCACCCCCGACGGACGGAGGACAGACAGACTCAGACTCAGCAACAAGACTAGCAGCGTAGTCTAGACGACAGCAAGCAGCAAAGTTGACAAGCTCAGCAACCAAGGCGGACGCAGTAGTGGACTCAAAGGAAGGGTCAGTGACAACAGTAGCCAGGAGACACGTGACAAAAGGACTGGCAGCACGAAGAGAGTCAGACTCCGGGTCAGCAAGGACAGGAAGAGAGGACTCTGGAGGAGACGGCAACGGGACACGCAGAGGAGCAGTGGAAGGA